AACACTTCTTCATTCATAGTTTGACAGGATGATGGAGCAGTACATGTTAGTCCATGATCGATGGCAAATTTGACAAAGTAAAAACTTTTCAGTATTTAATATTACAAGCCACTGATACCGTCTTCTGTATTCCTGATTCAGGATTTGCATCTCTTGTCAAATACAATCAATTCTTCATTCATAACCAGTACGTATACATGTTGGGCATGATTGATGGGGAAAAGGAAAGGTTTGGAGTGATTAAATATTATGCCAATAATACCATCTTGTTTATTCCCGAATCCTGGCATAAAGTGTTTCTCTAATAGAGGAGGGTATGTATACATGATGTAGGGCATTGAGGAGGATTGGTTGAGTGGTTGATTCATGTCGTATCATGGTTGTGCCTGCACGCTGATTTTAACATGCAAAGTCTCTGGTCACACACTGGTCAAAAGCTATCATGACACTTTCTCAGTCCTAGTGCCTTGCTGTATATTATAATACCCATGGCTGCTGAAGTTGACCAGACATTACTTTAACTATACTCCACCGGCTAAGGCCTGAGTGAAGAGAGTTGAACAAAGGTTAGCCATAATTCTCACTCCAATTTGCACATTTGTAACTGTTTTTGGGTTAAAATACACCTTAATCGTCATAAGATGTTGTGACTTAACAGCAGGTAGTTTGCTGACTTTTCCTAACTTAATTATAAGTAGTCAATTTGGTAGTAATTTGTTTTTCAATGGTAGTCTATTGTAACCATGGTAACTGATAAACAACAATAATAACAACATGGAATTAATTCAAAGGAAAGGCAGAAACAATGTTTAAAATTTACATTGTGAGAAATGGTTATGATTAACTTCCTAGAGGAAGGAGGGAAAAAATTGAATTTGACAGGAACTGAAAGAAAAAGTTTGTCATTGCATTGTCCAATTGAATGAAATGCTGGTGTCATGTTGGAATGTTGTATAACATATTGTGTTACCCAACGCAATGTATACAATTCATACACTTACATGCATGTATATCATGTATTGTTTCTTTTGAGAACAATCATGCTGTAGTCATGTTAATGTAGGGTAGAGTTTCTGTATGGACAGGATAACCCATGGTTTATCAATTGATCAAGTGTTTGTTGAATATTCTCAGTTATCAGTGCCAGTGTTGTGAGTAAACACTTGAGTGTTAGTTGAGTACTTGAGTGTCAGTTATACCAAGATAAGGCACACACCTTGCTTGGATAATTGTAGATTCAGTGTTGGACAAATGTTTGATGTGTTTTGGTCAAGTAGTTTGCTTGCATCAGTTGTGCTGTTGGTAAATGTTTACTACAAAAAAAAGCTTGCGCAAGTGTGCCCACATATTTATGATGAACTCTGATGACCCGACATACATACATGTTAAGTGTATGTGTATCCAGATGTACCGGTACCATTCATCATTGACATGAATTGTCTAGATTTATTAGCTATATTCCTAAATTGTTTGTAAATGAAATGTCCCCTCCCCCATTCATGTTGGGTCTGTTAAGAATTGAATATCTTGGAGCATTATGACACATCTGCACATTAACTTGAACTTGTTAATCTTCTTAACTATTCAGCGCTCAATTTTCAACTCCATTTATTATAGGTTGATCTATCAACTCCAAATTTCCCTGACAGAATTGAATTGTGAAGTATTCTTTATTTGTTTGAGTAAAAGCACTGATGAAGTTTTGAAATCATGAATGCCACAACAGATAAATATGTGCAGTCATTTAGAGTTGGTTTCATTCCTTCTGTTCATCTGTGCATTTTGGCATGCACTACTCTTCTTTTTTTGAAATCAGTTTGTTGAGGTTTTCTAGTGGATGGTGTAGTATGTGGTACAGCAGTGACCGCTGAAGTGGTTTGTACTCCAGCAGCTTAAGGGGCCACTATTCACACATTTCCAATACTCAGCTCAATATACCCTATCATATTTGAGCCTCAGATTGCATCTCAATTGTGCACTTTTTCCCCCTGAATTCTTTGACTGATTAATATGTGAATTGTCGTTGAGAGTCTGTTATAATTGGATTGTGGAATGATGGAATGGTGTATGATGGATTAAGGATGCTATTGTGTGGCTTGCTAGTAATGGCTCAAGGCTTATCCAAACAAACTAGTCAGGCCTATTCAACACATTTTCTTTTTTGGAATAATTTTACAATTTGTAAAGAACCTAAATTGTTGTGTGTAATTTGGATGAGTGCTGACAGGGAAATACCGATGGTGGACTGTGAATTCATCACAGCCCATGTGGAACTAATTGTTGTCGATTTGCTGCTCAATACAGCTGCACGAATATCCCTAAAGTAGCCAAAGGCTGGACTTGGGCTAGGTACCGACACAATGACCTGGCATAGAGCGCAAAATCCCTCACAGAAATGGCTTCGTTTACCGGCTTGTTTTTGTAAGTTATTTATGAACATGTGGGGGTAGCGCCCAGTTACACTGTGTAGATATCCTGTGGGCATTAAGGTAGCCTGCCTGTACAAAAAGCACACATTTGAGTATGCTTCAACACCAAATGTTTGGCACCATATTGTAAAAATGTCAGCAAATAGCCCCAGAGTGGTTGGTACTTGTGAGTGAGGTGGCTCCTCAGTCATCTGTACACAGGTGACTGCAGCACTTTCATATCCAATGTCAGCATTTATTGCACCTTGGTCCTCTCATGCAATTTGATATCTCAGTGCATATTCAGTCCTGGTAGATATCTTTATCCTGCTAGGTTGGAACCTTGCTCTATGGTTGGAATGAAATGTGTTTGCCACAAGAGTGCTAGATATTTCTTGTCATAATTTAAGAGCGATGCCAGGTGAAGCAGAATGTCATGAATTTTGAGGATATCCATTGTGTACACTGTACTCAAAGGATTTCTCAGTTTTGTGACTTGAGCTTGACTTTTGACTTTTTGCCATGGGTCCAATCGCGGCACAAGCAAATCGCAGGTCGACCTCAGGCCAGCTTACTTTTGGGGGTGAGGGAGGGGGGAAGGGCAGGGACACTGGACACAATGGACATGTTTGGTGGGCAGTGTCAATGTATATGACACTGTATTTGTGTGTAAATTCCATTCTTTTTTTACGGTTGATTAAAGGTAAACATACATTTAAAGCATGGCCAGGGTACTTTTGCCATTTCACATGAACATCTTACTAAAAATGCATGTGTAAACACAGTGCATCTTTCCCCCCCTTTTTTCCGGGGGGGGGGGGGGGGGGGGTGTGGATAATGACGAAGGAATTTTTTTCAGAGCCATACCACAAGCATCTTTTCTATCTTTTTGTGTTTGTGTTGTGTTGAATTCAGTTACATATGACCAGAAGTGCAATATGCTGTGTAAGTGGTGTCTGGCATTGCTGTGAATCATCAATTACTGAAGCTTGATTCAGTAAGCATTGAATGCAGACAAGGTGGAAATAACTAGATTTGTAGACATGAAGTTTATGATGAAATTAAATTTTCATCAGTCAAGGAAAAAAATAGCCATAGATGCGTGAAATGTGTGAAGAATTTAATTATCCTATTTGCACTTGAATCACACCCGCAGGTTTTCTTCAATACAGCTATCATGTTGTCTGAAGTTTCCATGGTGTGCCAGTGCACAGTACAATGTAGAAAAAAACTTGCAGAGGAGGCCCAGCCGATGTACCATGAATTAAACACAGGTTAACTAGTTAACTACAGTGTTATACCTGGTTAACTCCTAGTCACTGTAATTTGAACATTTAGATAACTTTGAGGTAATAGTCAGCAGCTGTGAGATGATTTTCTATTCACTGACAGTGACATGCAAGATATTATTGGTCTGAGCTGTAGGTAACTTTAGTTGTTATTGAGGATGTTGGAGAGGCAAGGGTGTGATATCAGGTCAGGCAGGTGAATGTGGGCCAAGCAGGCAGTAGGGAGGACAGTAGAGTGGCATATTTATGAAGATGCTGCTTGTGGCACAGCGTTGATGTGTTGTTGAGTAGTTGCTAGCAGCTATCAGGTCACTGTGGCCGTGCTGACTGACTACCTGAGTACCTGGACACTAGCTAGCCAACGTGTGTGCCCCAATACCGACCAGAGAAATCCAGCACCTGTCAAGTACTTGTTTGGCTATATTTAGAAGTGCATTTGGTGCATCCTAGGAGAGACGATCTCCGCTAAAAAGTCAGGAAGTGCTTGTGTACAGGGAAGTTAGGGGTCAAATCAGCCAGGCGGCATGCGTGTAGGCTACAAGTACTCAGCCAAGGAACCTGGCTCATTTGCCGGAGCACGTGCTGCTCTGCACTTTAATGCAGCCGTACTGTAGGCTAAAAGTGAGATGGACAGAAAGGCAAGTGTGATAAAGTGGATGGTACATTGATTTGTAAGAGTGCTTTGCTAGTAACAGGTCAATAAATAGCTTTGCACTGACCCTGCTTTGAATTTCAGTGCTGGTCTGTGCATGTATACCACCTTGACTCCATCCTGACAAGATGTTAGTCAAGATGGAGACACACCTCCCTACCGGAAGAGCAAGATGGATTTCCTCAAGTAGCTGACTCTCAGATTGGACAAGTCTTGTCATTTGTTCGGCTGTTAAAACCTGCCTCCTATTCTTGTGCGTGTACTCACATAGTGACTGCATGTTTGCTTGATTAGACCTTGAAGACCACTCCTAACTCACTTTGAGGCAGTTTCAGGGAGGATGCCAATCAACTTCATTTCTACTTCATCCTTGAAACTTGTCAAGAAAAAAAGTGATTTTCAGAGAGAAAGGAATTGCTTAACCATCTGTTTATGTTTAATCTATGACACTTTCACCAATAGTTTATAATTTTGGTCTCAATTTCATTTTGAATGTTGACACTCTTGGAAATGTGTTTTTATTTGCTTTAAGATGTCTGTTAAGAATTTATCCAAACACTTGAAATTCAAGATTTCCTGAAGGATCTATGGGCACTTTCCTTTAAAAGTGGCTGATTGTTTTTGGTTGTAATCATCTTGAAGTGGAAAATAATGAGGTTTGACGTGTATCTGGCTTGTGGTGTGGTGTATCAACGGAGGTATGTGTGTGCTTGACAGTGTAGAGCAGTGTGATTGATAATGACAGGATGCAAACACATGATATCTAATGACATGACACCTGTATATGAAGCTAATACAGGAAGTATCTAGACCTGCATCTGCTATTAGTCATTTATCCTTGGTAATGTGACACAATCTCATTGTATCCACACACTGGAGAAGCTTCATGTCACAAGACTTGATAACAAAACAACTCCTCCCCCAACAAAATGTCACAGTTACACTGAAAAGTACAGAATAAATTGCTTAGCGTCTTGGTACGCTAAGTAAGGGATGGCATACAGGTCAAAAGTACTTTTTTTACTCAGATAATTCTTTTCACTTTTTTGTTTATGACAAAGATGCATATTTTTTATCTTAAAAATATTTTGTAATTTTCTTGAAAATATCCATTGTGCAGGTCTGTATCCATGAGAAAATAAAGCTGCTGAAAACTGTGTACTGACTGGATTTATTGGGTTTCTAAAAGTATTACAAGTCAGAGGGTCTCTCAAAGGCAAAAGATTTGTTTTTCAGATGTGACTTCAAAAGCTATAATTAACACACTTCCATTAAATCTTTAACATTGTGATGTCTCCGTAGTGATGATTGAATGTGGTGTTACCAGTCTGTCTCACAAAAAACTAAACAGTAAAGTACATGCAGCGGTATGTGAGTGGTTTGTCCTACATACGTAACATACAGATGTACGCTGGAGACAGAGTCTAGTTGTTTATGCAGACACAGCATCTGGAGGCCTTAGTAAGTGTAATTGAGAAGCTACTTTAGACATCCTGTTGTTGATGTCACATCTCCACTTGAAGGGGCTATTTAGCCACAGATCAGTGCTAATTAATTCATCTTCAATCACTGGGACTGCAGCTTCCTTGACTACAGCTTCCTTATGGAGTGCTTCCTTGATTGCAGTGCTTACAGTTCGTCTGCACTTTATGCGAAACCTAAGTAACATGTAATATAATCTGGATGTTAATATTGTGCAATGTACAATGTAGATAGAAATAAAAAAAAATATGAATTGATAACTAATCTAGGATTCTTCAGAAAATTTCTTTAATTAACAGGTGATTTTGATTAAAAACATCTTGACATTTGAATTCAAAACTAGACTGTTCTTTCTTTTTTCTTTTCTCATTTGCATGGTATTTTGTATTACGTTTTAATGTATTGTTGTTTTTTTGGGTCACACATTTAACTTTCTGACCTTTACCTATTACTTTACTTTTATTTCTACTTTAAATTTTTTTTTCAAAGAAATCATTACATTAAGTGAGCTTAGCTTTTAACATTTTCAGAAGTGATGCTGAGAAAATGAAAAACCATGGATTCAAAATTGTTTAAGTTCAGACAGGATGAAAAACCATGAATTCATTAGTTTTACTCGTGAAAAGGAAATTTGCAGTCCGATGTGTTTCCATAAGGAGTGGGTTTTGTTTATCACGGCGGTCCGCAGCCCCTTGATGTGAAACATATAATGGATATTTCAGACAAATGAGTCGTTTTTACTGCAGAGTTTTTGCAGTGATTATCTCATATCGGGAGAATATGTTAGTGAAAACTTTGTATGTCATATTTCGAGGGAAAATTTGACTAAAGAATACAATTCTCTGACATTTCATATGCATATGAATTGATATTATCCTGTCAATTAATGGTGAAATGTTGTGTTAAAAAGAATAACATTTTACCCACAGTGATAAGTTTTTTGGTTCCTACATGCAGTAAATTGTCTAAAGTGTATAGGTGTTGGCGGGCGGGTGGGCTGACGTCATCCGATGAAAACATCTATTGAACACCAGTTTTCATCGGTTGCTATGTGTTACCATTCAGCACTCCAGACTCAAGAACCATTGAGTTACAAGAACATAGGTGTGGGAGCTACATTGTAGATCATGAAGATAAGCCAACGTAAAAAAATTCCCGGTTGTCCGCACCCAGCTATTGTGTAAAGTATTCGTATTTCCGAATCCATGCTTTTACTAAAAATGTGTAGGTCTATACCAATCCCCTCTTTTTGTTCAATACAAATGATTCGTAGATACGAATCCACATACCGTGACATCATTGCGATTGGTTTAAGTGATCCTCTGTGACAAAAAATTGCACAAATAAGTAAGTATTAGCAGTGACTTATAAAACAACATGTTCTTGGAATTTTTGGAAAAAACATAAACAAACAAACAACCAACAAACAGAAAACAGAACCTGACAACATTAAACCAAAAGTATATAGGAAGATTAAAGGGACATACATGTACATGTATGAAGTTTTATGAATGGGTAAGTTGTAGCATATAGCACTCAAAAGACGTGAAGTAGACTGGATGCTATTTTTGTAAAGGATCATTTTAAGGCAAGGCATGTACATCTTGTACAATGTAATTGTTGAGTGGAGATATTTCAACTGTAAACAGCTTATAGAAATGAGTATTAATGGAGGTTTGAGCCTATACACAAGTTAGAACGCATGTACATGTATATGTATGTGAGTGCGGAATGTGAAGTGTTTATAGTCTATCAGGATTGGCCATGACAGGTTGTAATGAGGTGCTAAGTGTTGTAATGGATAGGTCATTGCCACACTCCCCTCTGTTGCCCATTACACCTGTCACTCAACTCACCTCACAAACTTGCTCAATACCTAGCACTCCAGTCTGGTTTACACAGGCTTGATATAGCAAGTAAACAAACTCACCGATGCTGATGGACACTGTAAACAACCAAGCACATTATATTTCTACAAATATTCAGTCTATTTGGTTTGAATTTATACAAGTTTTTCTTGCCATATTTTTGCAATTGGATTGTATTTTGTTTTGAAGTAATATCTCGTGGTATTCTGTTTCCATTTGGTGATATGCACACCCAGCCTCATCAGCTATGTGTACACACAGGCATCTGCAAAACTCAATAAACATACATCGTTAGTCAATCTTTGACAAAAGTTGCCACAACTCTTTGAGTACAGAATTTAATTGCCTTTGAGTTTAAACAATGAGCTATGACGTTTGGGCAGATGTGCATTTCTTTGCCGTCAGCAGGCACCATATTTAGCCAATGTATTGTCTTGCTAAATGCAGAGTTAAAACTCATCCCACCTGTTGATTCTTAATTAGATTTAATTAATGAATTGATTTCTTTGCTATAAATGAAACAGGTGGTGACCTGTCATTTTAAACAGCTTCCTCAAATCCATGCTGACTTAGCATATTCTGATTATGAACAAGAATATTCTGCATGATTGAATAAGGATTTATGCTCTGATAAAATGATTGAGAAATCCATTATGCTACAGTCACATCTTCAAACTAATTGGCAAGAAACCATTCAATATGATATTATCGAAAACTGAATCAATTGAAACAGATGTGTAAAGAATTATCCCGAGAAACAACTAACATTACAAGATATACCGGGTAGCCAGGGAAGTGACAGTTGAGGGAAATGTCTGTCAACAGATAAACATAATAGATTTCTCTTCTCAATTGACTTAAAAAACAATCAAGTAATTCCTTTAAATATCCGTAGGGAGGTGGAATATATATCAACAAACACCTGGAGGCTTATGTTCCATTTGTGTAATATAAGACCAGGGCAGAGTGGCAAGTTCTATTGATTTCAGTGGGGGTTGTTGTGGTACTGTGCATTAACACTGAGACCCTGGAGGTAGCAGGAATTATTGTGACAAGATAAACTAGGCTAAACACACACTGCACTTGATCGCCTCAATCAGGTGGATTGGTACTGTAGCTAATGGCTTGCTTTATATAAACCAACCTACATGACCACATTGATAGTCACTGCCCAACTGACAAAATGCACTATGCTTGGGGGCAGTGCATTCAGACTTCATTCCTGCAGTGGTTCTCAATCTGCACTAATGCAAAATGCCAGCAGCACTAAGACTTCAGAATTTGTTTGGTCTACTAATTCTATATTGTACCTTCTATAGTTTTACAAGGGTGAAATCCCCTGTCGCTTCCCCTTCAACCCTCTCCTTCCCCATCCTTGACTCCTCCCCTGCCCCACCCCTGCTTCACCTCTGCCCCACCCCTGCCTTACCTCTGCCTCTCCCCTGCCCCACCCCTGCCTCACCTCTGCCCCACCCTGCCTTACCTCTGCCTCACCTCTGCCTCACCCCTGCCTCACCTCTGCCTCTCCCCTGCCTCACCTCTGCCTCTCCCCTGCCTCACCTCTGCCCCAACCCTGCCTCACCTCTGCCCCACCCCTGCCTCATCTCTGCCTCTCCCCTGCCTCACCTCTGCCTCTCCCCTGCCTCACCTCTGCCTCTCCCCTGCCTCACCTCTGCCCCACCCCTGCCTCACCTCTGCCCCACCCCTGCCTCACCTCTGCCTCTCCCCTGCCTCACCTCTGCCTCTCCCCTGCCTCACCTCTGCCTCTCCCCTGCCTCACCTCTGCCTCTCCCCTGCCTCACCTCTGCCTCACCCCTGCCTCACCTCTGCCCCACCCCTGCCCCACCCCTGCCTCACCTCTGCCCCACCCCTGCCCCACCCCTGCCTCACCTCTGCCCCACCCCTGCCTCACCTCTGCCCCACCCCTGCCTCACCTCTGCCTCTCCCCTGCCTCACCTCTGCCTCTCCCCTGCCTCACCTCTGCCCCACCCCTGCCTCACCTCTGCCTCTCCCCTGCCTCACCTCTGCCTCTCCCCTGCCTCACCTCTGCCTCTCCCCTGCCTCACCTCTGCCTCACCTCTGCCTCACCCCTGCCTCACCTCTGCCCCACCCCTGCCCCACCCCTGCCTCACCTCTGCCTCTCCTCTGCCTCACCTCTGCCTCACCCCTGCCTCACCTCTGCCTCTCCCCTGCCTCACCTCTGCCTCTCCCCTGCCTCACCTCTGCCCCACCCCTGCCTCACCTCTGCCCCACCTCTGCCCCACCCCTGCCTCACCTCTGCCTCACCTCTGCCCCACCCCTGACTTACCTCTGCCTCTCCCCTGCCCCACCTCTGCCTCTCCCCTGCCCCACCCCTGCCTCACCTCTGCCCCACCCCTGCCTTACCTCTGCCTCTCCCCTGCCCCACCCCTGCCTCACCCCTGCCTCGCCCCTGCCCCACCTCTGCCTCTCCCCTGCCCCACCTCTGCCTCACCCCTGGCTCTCCCTTGCCCCACCTCTCCCCACCCCTGGAGGTGGGGCTTTAGTTCTTTTTATTCAAACAAATAAATGTATGACGAAAGTACAAGAAACAAGTGGCGCCAGCTAATGCACATGTTATAGATGAATAGGTATTGTTAGGCAATGCTTGTAAAGCTGCTTCCATGGCCAGTGTTCAAGTCACAAGTGACAGCCAGTGAGATAGGTAACCAGTCTAATTGACAAGTGACAGTCAGAGTTTTCTAATTAAGGCAACTATTTGGAAATATCACACACGACATTTTCATAGCTCTACGTCTGAAATGTGAAAAGCTTAAACATTTTCTGATATTGCTTAAAGGTAGGGTAGATCATTTGTGCATTTTTTCGTTTGAAGCAACAAAAGTGCTCAAAATCTGAAGACAGTGCTCAACAACTAACCTAATGGAGTTTTAGCTCTGTAAATGCTGTATACTCCGAGAAAACATAATCTGGGATCTCAGTTTCAATTTAAAAGTTGCCGAGGCATGTTTTGAATTGCACCCCGAAATCAGTGTCCGGGACATGTTCTCATTCAGCCGATTGCCGCTATATCAATATCCCGTGCTAAACATGTAATAATAGCAAAGACTAATAATAGCAACTGCATGCCGCATGCGTACGCGTCGTATCAACTTTTGCGTGCACCCATTCATGGTTTCGCCATATTACAAACCAACTACTAACACAAATTTCCAGAAATGCTTCATTTGACGCATCTTTGGAAATGGCCTTCTTCTATTGTTTTCTTCAAAATGACAGCATGCCAGAAAGAACAATTTCACAGGGAGTTTAAGTGCCATTACTATCTTTAAACCAAGTAAGTTTTTTTCAACAATAATTTTGTCAGTTGCTTTTTGGATAGCTGCAAATAATCTACTCTAGACCTTAAAAATGTAGTGTTAGAAATGTTAGCTGTCTGCAGATGCTATTGCTATGGACATTTCAGTTTTGTGATGTACATGTTCTCTCAGTGTTAAAAAAAAATAGAGATGTCCTGCATAGACAATGGCTCTATGTAATGCTAGGTAGACATCCCATGTAACCATCTGTCCACCAATCAGAATAAATTTCCAATATAATGTTACGTTAGAGAAACAGTCCATGCAATTACCTACATTGTAATTCCTTGTTTTTCATGAAACTTTCTGATAGTTTGTCTTGATATCGGCTTTCAGAAAAAACAAACAGCTGATATAGTAGTTGCGTGTCTATTTGTGTTTGTTGGGATATGGCTGACAGTGAATGATAAATCCAGTCTGTTTTGTATATTTGATATACCAAGCTAATGTATTTATGGACTGCAATGCTCTTGAGGGCAGAAATCAATGCGTGAAAGTATTGGACTATTTCCCATGTGTGACGTGCTGCTTAGACACCTAGGTATTTCTTTGCTGATAAAGTTACAGGTGACATATTCTCCTATCTACTGACTTAATATTAACCAATTTACTGTAACTGTATCTCTCTAACTGTCAGTGTATTGCATTCAATAGACAGCCTGGCACCTTAAGCGCAACTTGTTCACTTTAAAGCAACTGACCTGTTATTGAGTAGATTGGTATTGCTGTCATGCTATATGGCACAGAGAAACATAAGATACCTTTACAGGTAACTAAATAAAATGCGGACAGATGCTTACATGTACTTATTCTTTCTCGTCCCATTTTTGGTGTACCCGTTATGTGCCTGTCCCTTTCACTAGAGGGGCGATAAGAAACTGTTAGTCATCTTCAAAAAAAAGTTTCATAAACCTTAAATACATTGCACATGCATCTACATTTTTCCTTCAGACATTTGATAACTATGAATGTTAGAGGCCTATACAGACTATTTGGTTACCACAATGATATGACGTTACTCAGGTAGTACTATGCTCAAAAGCAGGTTGCAAACATTTTAAATTTCAGTTGAGTGTGTATTTTGGCATGTTGTTGACACGCTACTTGTCAAACTAACATTGAGTTTGTGTGTACAGAAACTTGTACGTAAATATGCGGACACCACACTAATATCCTCTGATTGTGGTGGTCAACTGCAGATGACTTGTGACTTGGCAACAAGTTCATAATTTGAAGTAACATTCATTTGAGTCATCCCTGAGTTTGTTCTTGAAGTGAGGCCTTGGTTAGCAACTAGTACACTCAAGGCGGTGAGATTTTTCCTTAAATTAGTACACATTAGGTCAGTAAAAAAAAAAATTCTCCTCGAAAACTTGACATGAGATTCACATGATTGTTAGGACTAATTTGCAAGCAATCCCAAATGAATGTTTACATTAATGTATTGATCAATCAAGTTGAGTATGGATAACATGAATTGCCAACGTGTCCCCCTAAGCACTGCCTAGTCTGGGTGTCCAGCTACTAGACTCACTAGTTCTTGTCATATTTTTCCCTCTCTGTTTTATGTCCATCTGTCTGCTGTTTGCAATGCATGAAATGGTCTCATCACCATGCTGACATCAATGCACCTGTGCGTTACCATGACAACATTACTCTTCACTCTTTGGCTGTTGAAGGTAAGATACTCCAGGATCTTAAGTCTGTACATGTCATCCCTGCTAGGCTATATGAGATGATAATTTGGAGATCTAGGGATTTGGATATGAGAGCAGTGGCTTGAAGGGAGTTATTATCTGGAAAGGACTACGTTTTGAATTGAAGAGGTTGTTCTAAAATTCCCTGGAACAGCTGCTGGCATAGTGATGGAAAAAAGACACTTGACTTTCAAGATATCCTTGGAATAGTCCATTTTTATGGATTTTTTTTTGTTTTTCAGAAATCCCCTAACACTTAAAGTATCTTATCCAACAGAAAGTTAGTTTTTGATTAAGGCGTCCCTTTTTATTTCTTTGGTTCTCATTTCCGACCGACCCAATTTGGGCTCCGGACCCAAGAAAAAAAACCTCCATTATTACTGCCGACCCTGTGTGGAACCCCATTAACAAAAAAAAACCCCGTAAATAAATGGAAAAAAATGAATACAAAATGTGAGCAAGTAGGCTCTGTATTATTTGAAAAGCTATAGAAATGAATACCAGATGGAATTCTAGAATATTAGTTGTCTATATACCTTTACTTGTATGTCATGACAGCCGCTACAGCCATGGTCTACATATGATGTAAATCAACTACATCTTTCCAAATATGATTTTATTTTATTCAGTGATATATCAACTCATGATAAACTCATTGCAATGAACAAAACTAGAGATAATTATACGCACTTGGCATCATTAAATTTAGTTATCTTTATGGGTGCAACTGCAATTTGATTTTCCTTTGCAGATTTTAATTTTTTGCAACCGACCAACCCATCTTCAGAGCCAAAAAAAATATGAGAACCATAGAAATAAAAAGGGACGCACTAATGGAATCTTGGAGCCTGTTACAAAATGAATGGACCAAACTGTGGTACACTTGCCGCTCTATAAATATTGAAGAAAAAAGAAATCTTGAGTATGTACAAATGTCTGTTGGTTTCTGGAACCCATCATCATTGGTAAACAGCAGAAATAGAATCTGCAAGGGGAAAAACATGCACAACGCAACCTTGATGTTGGAATGACAGAGGCAGTAGTAACACATAGTAGCACTGTTCATTGTGATATCTGTTCAAGCTGCTTGCAATTAGCAGCATACTTAAAAATGAAGTACTAGCAGACTTCACTTCCTGCTATTTTAATCCATTTGTCATATGGCCCCAAAAGAACATATTGTTAAACTATCGCAGTGCCGACTTGTTGAAAAAAAGGCCTTTTCTCTGTATTTCTGTACAGTAAAAGAGGGTGTCAAATTTACAGAAATACTCAGTTAGATCTGTGCTGCTTGATTTAGCTGAACACTGGAAGAAAATAGTCTCCAACTCCAAGATTTCCTCCACCATCAGAAAAGTTCAAACGGGTTGTTAAATTTATCACAAGCGGCAAACTGCAATTAATCTGAGCAATCCCTAGGGATGCAGCTTTGGTACTCGCAGGCATCCTGCTTGATTACTTTTCTCTGACATCGGGACACAAGTCTTTGGAAACTCAGCCTCCTGAATGTAAATTGAATATCTGATGGCAATCTTTCAGACGGCCAGTGTTTTGATATCAGATGTGTTGGAGGCTGTACATTGTCATCTGACTGGCTTGCAGAAAGAAAAATGCCATGGACAACATATGTCCTGCTGTACAGAGTGTAAATGAAATGTGCAGTGAAGGTAGTATGTGTGTTGAGCTGCAAAAACAATCCCTGGCAGATAGCAATGAGAGTAAATGGCATGAGCGGAAGTGCTGAAGTTGTACATTTTGTAATGTTGTTCACCAAATACACAATGTACAGGCTGAGTCAGAATCATCTGGACCCAAATTAAAGAAAATGTTTAAAATATGTAACAATTATCAAAACAAGTGCAAATGAGATATGTTTGGGACATATTTGGAGAAAGTTTTATGTGTATCCATTGTACCATTTTGAAGAAAAGCGCTAGCAAAGAACACACACTAAAAACACACGGTTCCATGGTTCAACAAATTGATTGAAATTGCGTACTGATGTGAAGCAGTGTAATATCAAATAAAAACCTAGTCATGGTGACTGACTCACTTGAAGTTATTGACACATTTGAAAAAGGCAAAACCAATTCTGTGTGCAGACTGGAAAATGAGCCACTTCAAAGAAAATGGCGTAAATCTTCACCACAACCACTCAATTGAAATAATTCAAAATCCTGTGGAAGACAAGTTAATAACCATTCATGTGAAACACTCAGTTATATACTCTATTTACCACCAAATAAAATGGTGAACTTCGGTCCAGATCATTCTGACTCACCCGGTACATGTATGAGCACATTTTCTCTTTTGACTTGATTTTGACCTCATGTGGGCGATATGCATGATTGATGGACATTTGAAAGTCTTCCAGGTACTATGATGGAGAAATCTTACATGGAAGCATTTTGCATTAATTCTTGTCACTGAATGCCAAATTTCTGACAAAATAATATTCAGACCAATCTCACATGCTTATTTTTACTTGTGTGACATAGAAAATATCTCAGAT